AAAAACTGACAGAAAATATTTGGGAGAGTGCAACTACTCTATTCCTTCTACTATGATAATAGCCTCTATAAACTTCAGATAATATGTCGAATACATAAAAAGGACGGAAATAATTTCTCCAATTATTCTAGAAGATAAACTACGTTATTTTGCGGTTGATATAACTTAATTTCTGGCATGGGGAAGCTGGAATGAGGACGGTTGTGGGCAAAATAAATATAATTCCTGAGCAAGCGTCGCAACGACAGAAAACTCTCGTGACTGCAGACTGCCAGATAATTTAATACTGGAAAGTAGACGACGTCATTAAGCCGACTAAATAGTGGCTTACACACGCTAGGGTAAGTGACAGTGGAAGCGCACAAATGTATCCAAATTTACCTCTAATATCAGCCACAGTTTTTGAAGGAATATTATTTTGTAATTAGATTTTCCTTATTTGTCAAATATGAGTTTTAGGGTGTCTGAGATCAGTTCATATTGTTTAAAAAAATTCAAGTACGTTCCTATATTATTTAATAACATAAAACAATAAAAGAAAAGTTAGTGGCGCACAAGTTTTTTTTTAGAAAAACATTCCACTGATAACCCATATGCACGTCCCTGGTGAATCTGTCGACAGTTTTTCAGCATTAAAATATGTTAAACTTATACTAACTTTTATCCTCAAAATTTCATTCGGATCATTGAAAGCATTATATAAAATTAAGAAAAAATTAAACGAATTAAGAAAAATTTTAACGAATCGCACCTATTGCAATCGCAAAACATTTTCCGATGCACGTCATCAATCATACCGACATTGACACTAAAGTCTATAAACCTGACTAACTAAAATTTTGGCAAAAATGTTTGTATAATTCAAGATACCGAGCAGCTCTTCATTTTACTTTATACAGGGTCCGGCAATAGTGCGTCGAGCATCTGTAGCTCCTAGAATAAACAAGTTGAGAATTTTGTTTAAGTGCATACCTGAAGTATGTACCAGGATGTATTTCAGGAAAATATTTCAAATTCTATAGAGTGGCTCAAAAAAGTGTGAGTGGACCTGGATGATTTTTTTTTAAATAGAACACCCTGTATATTATTACATTTTTGGCTTCCTTTTCGATCACTTTACATAACCATAAGATATGAATAAATAAATTTTGATAGTTTCAGAGATATTAAAAAATAAATCAAAAATATAGTTTTTTCAGCCCTTCTTAAAAAAATTATTAAAAATACAAGAACTGTTCTGAAAACAAAACTATATTAGGTATTTACTTTAGATGGTCTGTACTTACTTTGCTATAAATATGAAAATCGTAAATTATACGGGATGTTCAAAATTCTACGCCAAACTTTCTAAAATATAAAATAATTTTTCTTCGTTTTTTTAAATGGAACACCATGTATATTATTTTTTCAGTATACGGAGAATTAAAAAATGAACATTTTTTGTATTCAGAGTATTTCAAAATGTTTAACGGTTTCGCAGATATTTGCGGTTTTATATTTCATATGGCATTTTCCACAGTAAATTTTTATCAAAGCCACCCAATAATTTTTCTCTCCTATTTTACCATTGAAAGCGCTATATGAAATAATACTGCGTGTATCTGCGAAACCGTTAAAAATTTTGAAATGCTCTAAATACAAAAAATGTTCATTTTTAAACTCTCCATCTAATAAAAAAATAATATACACGGTGTTCCATTTAAAAAAAACAAAGAAAAAATATTTTATATTTTAGAAAGTTTGGCGTAGAATATTGAACATCCTGTATGAATTACGATTATTATTATTTATAGCAAAATAAGAACAGCCTATCTAAGTAAATACCTAATATCGTTTTGATTTCAGAACAGTTCTTGTATTTTTAATAATTTTTTTAAGAAGGGCTGAAAAATATATATTTTTGATTTATTTTTTAATATCTCTGAAACTATGGAAATATATTTATTCATATCTTAGGGTTATGTAAAGTGATCTGGAAGGAAGCCAAAAATGCAATAATATACAGGGTGTTCCATTTAAAAAAAATCATCCAGGTCCGCTCACACTTTTTTGAGCCACCTTATATAAGTTAAAATATTTTCCTGAAATACATCCTGGTACATACTTTAGGTTTGCACTAAAACAAAATTCTCAAGTTTTTTATTCTAGGAGCTACAGATGCCCGACGCACTATTGCCGGACCCTGTAGAGCAAATGATTGTAACAGATATTTTATTTAGAATAAAGCTGCAAAAATTAGTTTAAACCGAATTTTATTATCGCTATGTTGGTCACATTGCGCCATTTTCAGCAGGGTTGTCGTTTACTATTTGAAAATTATCCTAATGTCAGTCATTATTTGGTATAATATCGTGTTGTTGTTGAATCTTTGTGAGTAGTTCTCGTTTTTTTGCCTATTTTCATAGTCTGTTTTTAAAAATTGTACTTTTAAACACAAACAGTTCTTTTAAGAACTAAATTGTCGAGTTTTGAAATTGTGTGTTGAAAATATGCCGAAGCATTTAAACAGTCGAAGCAAATAGCTTGTAGCTTCCCTGATAAACTATTTTGAACGAGAACGTGACAATAAAGGTCCTTTATTACCCTTGACTGCAGTCAGAGAAGTAAGTTTGATTTATAAGCACATTACACCACTTTCAAAGTTATTTCGACGTCAGTTTTTATTAAATTCTGTGATTATTAGTTTGGGCATTAATAGCACCCTCTTTCTTGTTATTACCACTTATGGCATTGTAAGATGTACGTCAATAAATAAATAACCCATAACAACGCTTAGAATAATCTTCATAATGGACTATTAGTTTTTGCCAATATGTAATAAGTAAAATAAGCTATAAAAGAAATAAATCAATTAATTACTTAAATATTACATAGTTTTTAAATTACTCTTCAAAAAATGATATAATAAATATATTGTTTGTCATTTTTAAATTAAGATTCATCTCATAAATCCATCACAATCTGGCAGCGCTGTCGCCATTGCTTGTCACTCAAAGTTGATCACGTGCATCGGAAATTGTTTTGCGATTACCATATGTACCCAGGTATCTCGCCACGAGAGATGGCTCATGTTGTTTGCCCCTGCATATCCATGTTGTAGCCATATACTACAAATTAATTGTTAACAATTAATTATAATTATTATCTGTTGTTTATGTCGTTAAACAAAGTTACTAAACAAAAATTTAATTAAAGTTTTTATTTGAAGATACCTCGACCGGAAAAGTTCCATTCCCTTTTTCTCTCGCTCAGAATTGTCCCATATTCTCGCGGCGCTCCGCTACACCCCGCCGCTCTCGAAACTAATACAATTCCTAACCCTCCCCTAAACAAAACACTTGGTCCTGCCGCTTACTTTGTCCTTTTTGCCGGCGTTTCTGCATTGTGGAACTGTCCGCTGCTCTTTGCGGTACCATTGACTATTTTAATGAACCATTTCATTACATTATTTTCATATAAAATGTCCTTGTTAGGTCCCGGCCTGACATTTAGTTCACGGCGGACTCCTTAAAGTCTTATTTCGTTAAGGGAGATAGAATTTCGTCCTGTTTTAGGGAGCGACGAGCGAAATTCTTTGTTAAATTAATTTTCTCTTTTTCGTTTCTCTCTACTTCCGAAGATTTTACGAAATTAAGTTCTCATGCTGATAGTTACTTCTAAATTAATTTTTAATCTTGTTTAGTCTACTCTACTTCCCTTACTACGCACTGTAAGTATTATTATATCAATTTAATAACATTTTTTATTTTCTCCAAAAAGTCTATACTATATCCGTATTGTAGCACATTTTTAGACAACTTCTTTATTTTTAAGATTTTGATGCCCAAACATCAACAAAATATTCCTTATGTTTGGACTAAATTTTCTCGAAAATAAAGACATAATTAAAAATTCCGTTAAGATACGGAAATAGATTGAAGTTTTGTGATTACAGTGATATATAATTTATATGGTTTTGTTATAAATTGCTCGCTATTTTATAGCAAATGCTGAAGCGCTGCAAATCTTAATCAAGCCTTAATCAAAGCACGTATGTTTGGAGTTTTGGGTGTGATATTGGTGTTTTTGATATATTTCCTTCGGTCACACACCGGCTTTAACCGACCGCTGAGAGCGACCCGAAAGTACAGCGTAATAGACTTTTAACAATGCGAAAAAAATACTATAAAATTTCATTTATAAATGCGCGCAATAATCAAAAAAAACTTTACTGAATTAAAGTTTTCGGTAAACCGTGTATATTACGTAAGCAGAAATACGTTTTTGGTTATGGTTAGATAGTCAACAACCTACTTTTTCCAATGTCAGATTATTTCCAATATTTATCTGGACCAAGCAAAAAATAATTCCAAATTATTAAAATTAAGCCATATGCTATTAAGTTTTTCTTATGATATAGATTTTTTAAAGTAGTGTATAAATGCAAATATACAAAATATAATATATAAATACTGTTTCTATATCAATGCTGTCCTAAATAAATACTTCTAAATGTGTTAATTTAAAACTTTATTACATGATTTATTGACTTTACAATTTCAACTAGTCATTTTTTTAATATATTTGATGAAATTGTCGAGACAAAAAAGCGAATTACATCAGTTTCTTCTGGTCGAGGATTTAAGTGAAAAAATAAGGTAAACTTCAGAACACCATTACTAGTTACACAAATTCTTCTGTGACTAAACAGCGACTAATACGTTATTGATAGAATGGCCTACTTATATCGAATTATTGGGTTCAATCAACCTGAAAGATATTATTACAATGATAGAGAAAGCGACAGTTATGTAAGGATGAAATCCAAACTGACCACAACAAAAATTCTTAAATCCGAAAAACTGCATCGCATTTTTCAATCAAAGCTGACTGAAAAAAACTGAATAAAAATTAGTTAATCAATCTTGCGGAAAATGTCTATTTAGATTCCTAACGAATCAACTCCATATAAATACAAAATAACCGAGCGCCAACCGCCAGTATAGTTGCGGTACTCCATGATGAATATCTTCGCAATTAGCATAGGCCTTTGTGCCCTGGTCGCATTTGTTAGTGCTGGTGTGATAAAAGAAGATGATGCGGTTCAAACGGCACAGTCTGCATTAAAACCAATAGCAGCAGTAACTCCGGTTGCAACAGGAGAAGTCGCCCCTTTAGCGGTCGCTACGGCCCCTGCTGAAGCTGTAGCTGCTCCCAGTGCTGTGGATCTGTCAGTTGCCGCCACAGGTCACGGTCACAAAAGCCACCACTCGAGTCATCACGAAGAGGGAGGTGGCCACAAGCACGACGCTGAACACCATTCATCTCACGGAGAAAAAGGCGACAAGGGATACAAATCCGATCACCATCACGACAAAGGACACCATGGCAAACACGGGAAACATCACGAAGCTCATCATCACGGTGAAAAAGGTGGTCATCATAAACATCATCACGATGAAGGACACCACCACAAGGAACACCACGAAGGTGGTAAGCATCACAAGGCCGGAAAGTTCGGTGAAAAGAAGGGACATAAGAAAGGACAAAAAACTACCGGATATCATCACAAATCGCATAAAGATGAATATCACAAAGACCACAAATTCTACGACGATTATCACAAAGGTGGACATCACAGTAAACACGGGGAACACCACGGGCATCACGGTGGTAAAGAAGGGCACCATAAAAAGGGAGGATCTCATAAGAGTGGATATCACGCCGATCACCACGGCAAGAAAGGACACTCCGAGAAAGGACACCACGACGAGCATCACAAAGGGCACAAGGGTCATGGGGGACACGAAAGTCACCATGCTCATCACTCAGATTATGGAAAGAAAGGTGGGCATTCTGGAGGGAAGGAATACGGATACAGTCATGGAAAGAAACACTAAAAAGGCTGCTGGCATTACCAAAGATACGATCAATTTAAATAACTTATTTACGCTTGAGTTCCTGTGGATAACACTGTCTTTGGCAGTTATCTTTGAAAAAATGTCTGTTAATTTTAAGTATATTACCTATTGATATTTATGTGTGTATTATGCGAAATAAAATTTTTATAGAAATAAATTAAAGTTTAGTTATTTCACTCAGTATAATACTATTTAATATCAAGTATTGTTGTAAATTATTTTCACATTGCCTTTTGTCTTATAATCGAAGGAAATAATCTAAGTATTATTTATTTATTTCAGTTAGTTATTAGAGTTGGAGATTGGATTTTTGTGTTTTATTTTGCTGTGCAGTTAGTAATGTGTGCTTCAAATAGGTACATGGGTAAATCATACTCAAAAACATTGTTTTATTATCTTATACAGGGTGAGTCTTAAATAAGTGCAAATGTTTTCAGGGCTGGTAAATCCCGATAAAAGAAATACATTTTCTTTTCACCGTTTTTCAAATAAGTCTAAAAAGCCTAAATTTTGAGAACCACTGGTTCTTTTCTGGGTTTTCTTTCTTGTAAATTTGATTTACTGCCTATGTTGCCATATTATGAAGATATTATGTTTTTAACTAAAAATTAAAAAAATCCGGATCGATTCCGGATCGAAATATACTACCCCTAAAAATGTTTACACTTATTTAAGACTCACCCTGTATAGAAATAAATAATAATTCTAAATATTTCACTCTGTATAATGCCAGAATCTTAATTATTAGTACAAATTATTTTTCTTATTTGTTCAATTATAATCAAAAGTAAATAATTATAATCTACATATTTAGGTCAAGTTAAGCACTGGGTTACAAATAGCGGGTGTGGTAGTCATACTCATTAAAAAATTACTCTGGAATGTAAAATACATTAGGTAATATAACTTTTATAGAAAAATTCTGTAAAGTTTTTGAAATGCCAAATATCTTTGGGTTAAAATAAAACACATTTTTTTTAAATCAAGTTATATTTACTATTAAATGTATCTACTGTACAGGGCGAGTCTTAAATAAGTGCAATAATTAGTTTCAGGGCTGGTATATCTCGATAAAGAAAACATATTTTTTCTTTGCCGTTTTTCAAATAAGTCCAAAATAACCGAGATATTTTAATTTGAAAATTTCAAAAAAAAAATTTCAGAGCCACTGGATAATTTCTAGGCTTCCTTCCTTGTAAATTGAATCCAATATGTTGCCATATTTTTAAATAAAAATTAAAAAAAAAATCAAATTTTCAATTTTTTTGCGAAAAAAACTCATATACATATGTTTCTGAGATCGAAATATACTACCCCTATTTCTACCTGTATTTCCACACCAGGAACACGTCTATGAGGTTTTTTCGCTAAAAAAAGATGTTGAAAATCGTGCATTTTCTTTTAAATTTCCCTGTATATTTTTCGGAAACTTTTTAGAACTGCCTGTTCACTGCAAAGTTTCCCACGGTATAATTTCTTAATCTCTGATATTACCATAGTTACGGCTTTACTCCATGGTTACGGCACTAAAAGGGATGCAAATACAGAAAAAATCCAGTGGCTCTCAAAATTTTTTCAAAAAAAAATCAGTTTTTTTTAATTTTCAAATTAAAATTACTCGGTTATTTTAGACTTATCTGAAAAATGGTAAAGAGAAAATATGTTCCTTTTATCGAGATCTGCCAACCATGAAAATATTTGCACTTATTTCAGACTCACCCTGTATGTAGTTTTTAAAATTTTTTAAAATATTGGTTAGGTTAGGTAAAAAAAATATTGGCATGAAATAAAATACAAGATTTATTTTAAACAAGTTTTTATTTGACCATAAAATTTATATAAACTCTTATAATTTAAGACAATATTAGGTTAAAATAAAACACAAAACAAATTTTATGCAAGTTATAATATGTAATATAACATAAGTACAAAATATAATGATTGTACGAAAAACATAATACCTTACAAAATTAAAAGTAACAATACTAAAAATTTAAAAACTAAAGATCATTATCACTATTCAATTATCACACCGCCACAATAACTCACTTATTAGGAACCTCTTCGATGTCGATGTCTACCGCTGCTTCCGCTGGCGCTGCCTGTGACTGAGCTGTAGCAGGTTGATTGTCCATAAATCTGACATTGAAATCAATATCAACACAAATGGTACCATTACCTGTCTCCCTCAAGTATCTTTTACTAAATCTATGAGATTTTGGTCCTGCCCATTTCTTTCTCTCAAAACGACAAGTCTTACATGCTGCTTCTCCTGATTTTCCTTTATTACAGCTGGTCGATGGCCCTGGTTCTTGCGCTGTAGGTTCTCCATGGGGAACAGATTCGCCAGGTGTTGTTGATGTTTGTTGGTTATTTTCAGTAGTGGCTGGATTTCTTTCCCGGGTATGTTCTTCTTCGTGCAAAATAAAATCAACGAAATTCGTACCGAAGTTCCTTGCCCAAGGGAGTCCGTGTTTGTGATGGTGATCTCTCTTAGGACCGTGACGGCCATGATGACGTAAAGTATCGAGAGGATGGTGCTTTCCGAAGTGATGGTGCCCTTTATGGTGACCGTCGAAGCTAAGAAATGGTGCCCACATTTTCGAATGGTGCATACCGTGGCGTCCGTGACCCCCGTGACCTCTATGCTTGCCGAACTTCATATTTTTGCGCTGAACGGGATTTATAACAGAAACAACGCACACCAGACCCACCAGACGCTAACCGACTAAAGTGAAAATGCTTGTTTTATTTATATGAATCCTAGTTGTTTAAGCGATGTTGCCATACGTATCGAAAATAAATACGAAATTTATAAGAAGTTAGTTTTTTTTTATAATTTGCAAAGTTCTCAATATGCATATTTGTACCCCAGAAGCAAACTATGTTAGTCACAAAGCATAGTTTCCAGAAAAATGTAAATAAAATTCTTTTTTCAAGTTATTTCCTAATTACTCGGTTATTTTTAAACCTGTGATTGTAATATTTGATATATGAACAATTTATTTTGAACTTTTTAAATAAATTATACATAAATTTTTTGAGTAGCTTAACATAATTTGTATATTAGAAAAAAAAAACGTGTACTTGACTTATACAATATGATCGAAAAAAAAGCGGCGTCAGCGATGGCTATATGAAATGAAGATCGCTGTCAGATGTAAAATAAAAGATCTGCAGATATGTAAAATTATATGGGGAATATCATCGATGTTTGTTTCCAAGCCAACTGGACGCCGTTTTTTTTTCGATCATACGGTATGAAGCTCAACTTATATTAAGTCCCTATTATTAACATGATGTATACCGGGTGCGTCTCAAAAGTGGCTCACCCCTATAACGTTTTTTATTTATTCAGTTAAAAAAACGAGATTTGGTATGTAGGTATATGACATACTAGTAAATTAGGATTGATTGACGTACTCAATTGTTTTCGGTCACTTCCTGTTTCACTGGAAATGACTACAACTTTTGGTTTTTAAATGGCACCCTCGGTGTTTTTTTTTTACTTTATTGGATAGAAAATAACACTCTCAATAGATGACATATCATATGTCAACTTTTGACATTTCCGCATATGGTTTATTTGAATTAATAACTTGCGGTTCGTAACGAAAATTTGACTCGAAATACCAAGGTGTGGAACCAAATTATTCGTAAAAAAATGCTTTTTCCAAATTTGCTAATGAGCCACCCTCGTTCCATTTGAAAAAAAATGAGAAATGATTAAAAATACGATTTCGGCATTTTCTAACTGGCCAGGACAATACACTAAAAACATTAGACGATTAAATCTATTTTTCCAAGGGACCTTGATTAACAATTAGTGTCTCTAACATAGCCATGGTACTCTTGATTGAATTTTAAAATACGATTTTTTATTAAGCGCGAATGTCAAAAGTGAACATATATATGTCATTCTATTCAGAATGCCATTTTCTATTGAATAAAGTAAAAAAATAGCGAGGGTTCCATTTAAAAATCAAAAGTTGCAGTAATTTCCGGTGAAACAGAAAGTGGCAAAAAACAATTGAATACATCAATCAATCCTAATTTATGTCATATACTAACATACTAAATCTCGTTTTTTTATCTGAAAAAATAAAAAAGTTATAGGGGGTGAGCCACTTTTGAGAAGCACCCGGTATATCTCAAAAATGCCAATTTTGGACATAGTATACTTCTAAGGGACAGATATTTATTAAAAAATGCTATTGTCATTAAGCAAAAATATGAGTTGGTATAAAGTAAAAGATTGCAAACATAATGGCGAACATAATAATTGCAAATAATTACTAATTTATTTAGTTCATATATTACTACTTTATGGAGGACATGGCAACGTCCCGTTCATCAAGAAGGATTGAATGGCTCGATAATGATGAGTCATTATATTGCTGTCTTTGTTTACCTCACTTGCTGTATACGAATAGCAATCGTAAACCATGAAAATTATCTAAAGCTTGGCTTTTGCGCGATAATTCACAACATTATGAAAAATTGCGTCACATGTTTTAAGTACGAATGATAATTTTATGACGTATTTTTATTGTGTACATATTAAACAGGTATTAAACCCATTATTTCCTATCGTACTATACAGGGTGTCTCAATATTCCGTGGACATAGGACTATTACGTCTTTTTGGAGTGGAAATAAGTTCATTGGACATAAGGTGATTATGCCATTGGTCGGACAATTTAGAAAAAACTGAGTTTAAATTGTTGATTAAATTTTCTTTATTGGTGGCATGGAAATGATTTTTTTATGAAATAGGTAGTGTGGCTATTGGGTTTCAAGATAAATATAACAGTTATTTTCATAAACCTACCAATGGTTTTAATTTTTTTTCGACGGCAATACTAGAGTCCGCATTTCTGGCCTTGGGTGCCGATTTACCTGCCTACGATGTATTTACAGCATCTTTCGTTTGACAAAAAAAGTGGGACAGATTTGTGCAAACAACATCCCCCTATCTTTATACTAATAACCAAGATACCGTATGATTTGAACCAAAACGGGACACCCTGTACAGATATTCAGTACTTAAAACATCTGTACTTAAAAGTAAATTTATGTAAGTGTACTATTATTATATTGTTGAATATTATACTGATTCATATGTTTCTTTTTACTTGATAATGAATACATTATTTATTGTATTTAGAGCAGAAACGGGTATTTCTTCAGTCATTGAAGGTTTATCTGTAAGTAAAACAACAAAAAAACATTCCTCTAGTTAGTCGATCCACAATGGACCACCATGTACTAGTTAAACCATAAATTAATATTGCTTCTAGGATGTAAACTGTGATCATAACAATATGATCCATAGTGCATCACCCTGTAGTGGTTAAATCTATAATTATTGCTTGTAGGATATAAATATGAACATAATAATAAATAATACTTGAAACTTGCAAATTAACTATTAATTTAAAAAATAACTTGCATTTTTAGTAATAAGATGCTACTTAAAACTTAACGTTTTTTGAATTAAAAAATTAACATATATTTTGCTTGTATCTAAATAGCGGCACTTCAAAAGCTTTGTAGTTAAAAGGCGGCATTTGAACAGATTCTTGTCACTTGCCGCCTTTTAACTTCAACTTCTTACTGGCATCATTGCAAAAGTTGAAGCAAGAAAGAATTAACCATTTTTTTAAACAAATTTTTAAACAATTATTGCACAAAAAGACATATAAATAACTAAATACGGTATTTCCAAATAGTGCCGAACAAAAAAAAATAACGTACACATATATTTTTATTAGTGAAGGACAACAACGAAAATGTTTTGCCATTTTGTCACTTGCCAACTTTTTAACTTCCGACGGCAGTATTAATATTTTTTTTAACTTAGTTCACCAATAAAATCAAATACATATTTTCAATTTATTTTTATTACAGATTCAAACTCAACAACAAAAAACATAACAAAAATATCAACAATGTACCCCACTATCCGTTTCTTAGTGGTGTTTATGAGCGAAACCCCAATGTTTTCCTTCGTGATGTCCTCCCTTCTTTCCATGGTCGGAATGATGATGGTGATGAGATTCGTGACCTCCATGTCCTTTGTGTCCGTGGTGGTGGTGCGAATGGTGTCCTTTACCTCCATGTCCTTTCTTTCCGTGGTGATCATGATGATGCCCGCTATGGTGGTGACCTCCCTTCTTGTGGTGTCCAGAATGAGATCCATGATGTCCGTGATGATGCCCGTGTTTGCTGTGGTGTCCGTCTTTATGAGCCGCATCGTAGAATTTGTGATGTTTGTGGTATTCATCCTTGTGCTTCTTAAGATGGTGTCCGTGAGTCTTCTGTCCCTTCTTATGCCCCTTCTTCTCACCGTGCTTGCCCCCTTTGTGATGATGACCGTGTTCGTGATGGGACGAGTGGTGACCCCCGCCTCCATGATGAGAGTGATGATGACCACCTTTTGAAGCGTGATGCCCGGAAGAATGATGCTTGCCGTGTTTCCCATGGTGACCTTTGTCGTGGTGATGGTGATGCTTATATCCCTTATCACCTTTATGGCCGTGACCGGAGTGGTGGTGAGCGTGATGCTTATGGCCGCCGCCCTCTTCATGCGAGCTGCCGTGACCGTGATGCGAAGCAGCAACAGCTAGATCTTCGGGCTCGAGGTTGGTAGCGGCTACTTCCAGGTCGGAAAGGGTCTCTTGTTCATCTTTGGCCCAGCCTAGGGCGGCGACGAAAAGGACCCCTAAACAGAGGACGAACACCTTCATCGTTGAGTCGATCTCACAGGAACCACCGATTCTCTGCCTGCTCCAACTTAATGCAGACTATTTATAATAGACTCGTTTCTTAAGAGACGGTTATTTGCACCATTGATTTTGCATTGCAATCGTTTTTTGCGGGCCCGCGAGATTTTTATGCAATTTAATGTTTCAGTTGCCTAGTTTTGTCACTCCGAAATATCAGCTACCATAGAGATTTCGATTTTACACCGTTTTAAATTGTCGTAAGTAATTTTTGTGAAATATCGCGGGATTATGGCCGTAATATTCGTACAGATTTGGTGTATGTGTGGTTTAGTTTTCAGTGCATTGCTAATTTTATTAATGCAGTATAATAATGTGATGAATTAATATGTTAATGTGATGAATTAATACTACACCGTTGTTAATAACTGAGAAACTAATAATGCAAATTATGTAATTAAACCCCAAAGTAGAAATATGGCCACCGCTGCGGATTTACTAGGTATGATATATTTTAGATTAAATTTAGTGTGCAGTTTAAAGCAAATCTAATTATATGGTTATAAAATGTAGTAATAGTTCGTCTATTTAATTCCGCATTTATTATACAAGGTGAGTTTTAAATAAATTCAAATATTTTAGGAGTAGTATACAGGATGTCCCATGCTGAGCGTGCATTGAAGTTTCTAGAGAACTACAATATCTAGATCAGGGATTATTTGCACATTAGCATTAGAACGAGATCTATTTATTAAAAATATTTTTAAAATGGCGGCACTTCCGGAAATACCGGCAGCTGACAGCAACTTTCTTATTTTAAATGGGTGCCCCCATTTTCTATTACATACTTAAATTCTTAGAATTTAAGTATGTATGTATTATATCATGTGAAAATTTTATGAATTTTGATATTAAACACTCTATACCTAAAATTAACCGTTTCTGAGAAAAATAAAATATTTAAAATATTTGGACGAAAAAAAACTGCCTGTCAAAAATATCGGTATAGCCTAAACGTCAAATTTAGTGATTATCACAGCCACTGTACCATAAAGAAAAGACATTAAAGAAAACAAATTAACAAAATTAAATTGTTCGAATGTCATATAATAATGGCCGCAGCTGTCATGGAATTGAGCGATTAAAAAATTATCATAAATATTTTTTTTCAAATGGAAACCCACTTTTTTTATTTCACTAGTGAAAAAGCTTTGCAATTCGTTACTTTTTAATTATACATGTTCCTATATATCTAAAATAAATCGTTTTTAGGTTATTTAAGATTTAGTTTTAAAGCATATATTTTTCTTGAGTAGCCTATAGCTAGATATTCTGCGCTATGACTTTAAACGTCAAGTGATGTAAAACAATAGATCTGGCCATGTCATATTGTGACACTATGTTCAAAAAGCAGTATGTCATCCAACATCATTTCCAAGCCAACTTTGCACTGTTTAATTATTAATAACTGTACTGTATTATTAATAATTCATAATATCAACTATTAGATATCACTATAGAGCGAAAAAACGAGATATATTTTTATAAATTCACTTTTTAAACTCTTAAGGCAGCAGTATTCATAATATAGGAGATTCAAATAATTCGTTTTCTGACAGATAGAAATTAATTGTCTTGCTATTTGACACTTGTCAAAGGAAGCTAGATAAAATCAAGAAAAATAGGTATACGTTTTCAAACTAAATCTTAAATTACTTAAGAACGATTTATTTTAGGTATAGGAACATGTATAATCAAAAAGTAACGAATTGCAAAGTCTTTTCACTAGTGAAACAAAAAAAGTGATTTTTGAAATAGATAGCGTTTTCTCCTTATGGCACAGTGGCTGTGGTAATCACCAAATTTGACGTTTAGACGATACACATATTTTTGACGGGCAGTTTTTTTCGTCCAAAAATTTTAAATATTTTTTGTTCAGAAACGGTTAATGTTAAATAATAATATAAATCATAATATATAAATCTAAGAGTGTGTAATATCAAAATTCATAAAATTTTACAGAGAATTTAAATATGTAATAAAAAATGGGAGCACCCATTTAAAATAGGAAAGTTGTTAACAACTTCCGGTATTTTCAGGAGTGCCGTCATAATGAAAATATTTTTAATGAATAGATCTCGTTGTAAAACAATGATGTACAAAAAATTTCCTATCTAGATATTGTGGTTCTCTAAAAACTTCTAATACACGCTCAGCCCGGGACACCCTGTATTTCGACCCCAGAACCACGTATATTAGGTTTTTTTCACGATTTTTTTTTAATTTGAATTTTTTTATAAAGGTAGTAGATTAAATTTACAACAAGGAAACCCCAGAAAAGATCCAGTGGTTTTCAAGATTTAAATTTTTTTTTATATATATACAATATATTTTTCGTATACTATTAACATCTACGAAATTATAATTTTTAATTCACGTATTAATTTTCTATATTTCGAATTTTGTAAATACATCGAATCTACATTTTGCGAATAGCGGCATTACCACATGTAAATATTTATTTAAGTTAAACATAATTATACTTTTAGTCAATGACACAGATTCGCCCCATATTTTTTCCCAAGCGATATTAATTAATTTTCACTAATATTAAACTTTTTCAACCTGCAATAGCTACCACGACTACAGTTAATTTGGAATTAATTAAAACTAGCAAATATTTTACCTCTTTTATGCTGGAAATGGTTAAATATTATTTAGTCAACTCAGTAAGCAGAAAATAATATCTAAATACAGGGTGTCCCAGATATAAATGCAAGTATTTTAAGGAGTGGTAGATCTGGCCAAAAGAAACATATTTTCTCTTTGCCATTTTTAAAATAAAAGTTGATCATAACCAAGTTATTTCACTGTGAAAACTTGCCAAATGATTGTGATTCTGAACTGTTGAAATGCTGGTATAATTGTTCATTATATCGTTTTGATATGAAGCTATTACTTATAGTACACCTTATCTAGGCAAAATTGTGTAAAAACTCCGTTTAGCGCCCCCTAGCGGTTGTTCTACAAACCTGAAAATAATTCCCAGCAATTGCTCATAGCCTCTTTAGTTATAAATATTTTTTTTTCCGCAGGCCCTACGGCTAATACTTTCCGAGATACAGCCGAGAGCTATTCTTAGTGGGACACCCTGTACATACATAATTATAAATCTAAGTGAAGAGTTTTTCCTTCCTTTTAAATATTTACAAATTTTGTCTACTTAACACATCCGGCCATTAAGTACTTTTTTATGGTACCTAATTAATTTAATATTCTCTAAACAAAGACAAGAGATTTTGACAAGTTTAGTAGGTACTCTAAGCATAAATATTGACTATACTTCTGTGGCGGATTCATCTCTTAATATGTGTGTGCGTAGACCAGTAAAACTTTCGGTAGATTTCAAAAAACTTTATTAAAAATTTCTGCGAATCATTAGGCATTGTTTTAAAATAGTTATTTATAAGTGCTAAAAGTGGTATTTTATTTTCTGAGAAGGGAAGCTTGGGTCACGATGCCGAAGGCGGAGTGTCCCATCCCTTCGAACAAAATAAAATCACTTTTAGCACACATATCATACACTATTTTTTCTAAAAACAAGTTTATGCTCGTATATATCAAGGTATTATTACTTTTTACGTTAATAAATAATTCATAATATGTATTCTGAAATCAAATTAATTATGAAGTTTATGGTTGCTAGGGTAATTTTATCGCTTCAGTGTTAAAAGTAAATCACGTGACTTTTATTACCAGTGCTAAAAGTAAATGACTTTTACCATCAGTGACATAATGTCACATTTTAGGCACTGACAGCATGCGTCAAAAATTACATTTTTACTGACGTTTGTAGAAAAATATATTTATTAGCAATATAAAATAATAATTTTTATGACAAGAAAAACAAATGTTTATTTTTAAATAAAATTAAATTCTGTTAGAAACGGTTGAGAAAGGTATTTTAAATATTCTCTTTGAATATTTTCTAGATGATTTACATCTTAATTTATAATAACATGTCTTATAAAATTGTTAGCATAAATTTTTCTTTTTTTTCTCTTAAATTATAGTACAAAAAATCTACCAAGAACAAATAAAAAAAAATCAAACCATGTACAAAAAGAAAATAAAAAATGTAAATGAACTTAAGAGTCTATTACGCTGTACTTTCGGGTCGCTCTCTGCGGTCGGTTAAAGCGGGTGTGTGGCCGAAGGAAATATATATTATATTTCAGAAATCTGCCTAAGGCTTAGCCCGATCCTGTCGTGTTAAGCCACACCTAAAATCCCAAACACAGGTGCTTTGATTAAGGTTGCAGAGCTTCAGCATTTGCCATAAAATAGCGAGCAATTTGTTACAAAACCATATAAACTATATATCACTGTAATCACAAAACTTCAATCTATTTCCGTATTGTAACGGAATTTTAAATTATGTATTTATTTTCGAGAAAATTTAGACCAAACATAAGGAATATTTTGTAGATGTTTGACAGTCAAAATCTTAAAAATAAAGAAGCTGTCTAAAAATGTGCTACAATACAGATATAGTATAATTCTTTATCTTTCATTTTCTTCTTCATTTAAAAATGGTAAAACCGCCTAGCCAGTTTTACATAGAACGTTAAGGCCCGTATTTATAGTTGCGTCTCGAGACGCCAAGACGGTCTTGGGCTCTTGAGAGCGGAATCCACAGAATACACGAGCAAACCTCATTTTGGAGATTGCGATTTTCATTTTGGAGATTGTCATTTTGGATAGTTTATGTGATCTGTGGATAGTTTCTTAACCCAACTTTTTTTGTAAACAAAGTAAATCCCTTGTAAATCCGTTTTGTCTGATTAAACAGTTTTGAATATGTTAGAAGAGTTTGAGGATATTTTGGACCATGTGGAAGAAGAAAATCGTCTTCGAGTTCCAAAAAGATATATACGGGATGCAGGAAATCCAATAGAAATGTTTAGCGAGGGGGGATTTATGCCGATATTGGTTTAACAAGGCTACAATTACAGAAACTATTTTACCTCTTATAAATTGAAGACTTGCAAAAACCTACCAATCGTGGTTTACCCATTCTCCCCGTTATTCAATTACTAATTTGTTTACAGTTTTATGCGACTTGTAATTTTCAGATGGTAAATGGAGACTTGCGTGGTGTTAGCCAACCTACAATAAGCCAGA